TATAGGATCCGAACCCGCGGCTGGAGCGTCGCTGTGCTCCAAGCGCCGCACTCTCCCGAGTGCGCCACAGGGTGGCCCTAGAACTCACTCCTGAAGTTTGTTGTGAGGGATGGGCAGCACTGTGGTTTAGTGGTTAAGGTTCCAGGACTAAGCAGACCTAGGGTTAAGTCCTTTTTAGCTGTGTGACCTTGGCCCAGTGATTTCGCTTCTTTAAGCCTCAGCTTTCTTCTCTGTAAAATGGGGCTGATGGAACTTCCCAGTCCAGAGTTGATAGAGGGATTAAATGAGTTAATAATGCAGCCTAAAATGGGAAGCACTTAGTAAATTGCCACTATTATTTTTCTCAAAATCTTCTAGTAACAGCTACCATTAATTATTGAGTGCCCAGTGGTTTGTACACATAAGCTTATTGAATACTCAAAGCATTTTGAAGGGATAGTTCTGTTGTGTTTCTTGAGTTACAGAAAAGAAATCTGGGATTTCAAGAAATGCCATGTGCTTTACTCCCCCAGAGTCTTACAGCTGGGATTAAAGTCCGGAACACAGGCCTTCCTCCTGCTCTGTACTCCCATGTCACAGAGTTGACCCATCTCCTTCTCAGTCCCCAGACAGTCTCCACCAGGGAAGTGCCTTTGTGGGCTGAGAATTGGGAAAAAACACAAATTGTGTTCTTCCTCTGCTCTCACAGCACAGTCAACACAGAAGACAAGGGCCGGCCCATGGCTCACTTGGGAGAGTGTGGTGCTGATAACACCAAGGCCACGGGTTCAGATCCTATATAGGGATGGCCGGTTCGCTCACTGGGTGAGCATGGTGCTGACAACACCAAGTCAAGGGTTAAGATCCCCTTACCAGTCATCTTTTAAAAAAAAAAAAACACAGAAGACAGACTTCTGTGACCAAATGTGTGGAGATTGCTCCCTACTACCAAGCAAGCAGTTTTCCAGCAGACACCAGCTGGGTGTCCTCTAAATTCAATTCACTTCCGATACTACCTATTGAGAGGTAGTGTCAGATACCATAGTGGGGCCCTGTCCCACAAGACTGCCCCCCACTTCAGATGGCAGGTGCAAGCACCAGGTTATTTCACCTGTGCTTCTGATTGACTGGCTATAAATTGGGGCCCTACAACCCCCTCCTGAGGTTCAGTTGATTTGCTGAGTAGCTCACAGAACTCAGGGATTTACTGTATTATTATAAAAGATACTTTAAAGGATGCAAATAAACAGCCAGATGAAAGAGATGTATAGGGTGAGATCTAGGAGAAGGGGAGCAGAGCTTCCATGCCCTCCCCAGGTGTACCACCCTCCAGTAACCTCCACTTGTTCAGCTATCCAGAAGCTCCCCAAACCCTATGCTCTTGAGTTTTTATCGACACTTCATTATGTAGGCATGATTCATGCATGGACAGTCGTACAGACTGAGTGGGGAAACCTAGCAAGGCCTTTTTGTTCAGGTTCTTCTTGGCCTCTCTATGTAATATTCCTTCCTCCTGGCTATGGGGCAGGATCTCTTCTGGAATGGGGGTCTTAGGACCTATTATCTGATAAGGTAGGTAAGAAAATTGCTTTATGGCCAGCTCCAAGACAGAAAGGCAGGGGAGATTAAGAGTCCTGCCTTGCAGAGCCAGGAACTGTGGACAAAAGCATGTATATCTCAATCATAGTATCACAGGGGCCAATTGCTTACAAAGGCTCTTCCTCTGTCCCAACTTGAATAGGCTGTTTCACAGAGCTTTGGGTTTTTTTCTCCACTTTCCAGCCGAGTTACAGCCAGCCACCCTACAACCAGGGAGGTTATACCCAGGGCTACACAGCCCCACCACCTCCACCTCCACCGCCACCTGCCTACAACTATGGGAGCTACGGCGGCTACAACCCAGCCCCCTATACCCCACCGCCGCCCCCCACCGCACAGACCTACCCTCAGCCCAGCTATAACCAGTATCAGCAGGTAGGTGCCAGATTGGGGGCCAGTGGGATGGAGAGATTTGAAGGGGCCCCTTCTGGGTGTATATTTCCAGACTCGAGTCCTTGTTTGTCTCTAAAGAGATGGGCAGCCTACTGGCCTCATGTTGTCATCTGGTACAGTCATTCCATTTGTTAAACACTTCTACACTGCTTGCTAAATAACTAGTACCCTAGCCCTATCCACAGTGTAGCAAGCAAAGGATAAGGTCTGGCACAGCAGGGGCCTCTGAGTCTTGCTTCAGCATCATGGCCAGGGGCCTCCAAATCTTGCTTCAGCATCATGGCCAGGGGCCTCCAAATCTTGCTTCAGGTTGGTGCTTAGGCCACTATACCTGTTATTAAATATTTTGAATATGATATTTAGCTACACCTGAAAGGGCACTAGATTGAAAAGCCCAGGAGACCTGGCCTTCAGTCCCAAACTTTCCACCCATGTGGCATCAGGCCAATCACCAAGGTACCTTGATTTCTGTGTCAGGGCACCCATGTGTGACTGTTGTCACTGCACCTATCTCTGCCCTAGGCACGGGTGGGGCCAGGGGAGGAGCCAAATGTGGGGTAGATGAAGGATAACTTGGTGCACTTGATTTCTTTCTCCCCAGTATGCCCAGCAGTGGAACCAGTACTATCAGAACCAGGGCCAGTGGCCGCCATACTACGGGAACTACGACTACGGGAGCTACTCCGGGAACACACAGGGTGGCACAAGCACACAGTAGCCAGTGTGTCCCAGAGGCTCTCAGAGGCCCCTGCCGGCTTCCTCCACCAGCGCCTGCCTCGGCCTCCTCCTCTACCCCCACCAGGTCCCATGGTGCTGGAGGACGAGGTCATCCCAGGGCTGCCTCCCTCCAGCTCACTGCCTCCCCTTTGAGGGGCTTCTGCCCCCCACACAGGGCCAGGCATTTTTCTCTGGATTCAAACAGGCAACAATGACCTTTTATTTTCTGTTATCCTCCCCCCTCCTCCTTTCTCCCTTCTTCCTTTTTGACTAAAGAATCCCCTCATCTTTCTTGGTCATACAGTGACTGAGGGGAGGACCCCTTCCCATCTACTCTTCCTATCCCTGCTCCACCCCCTCAGCTTCCCAGACCCTCATGCAGTTGGTTGTAAATTCTCCCAGGAGCTGTTTTACTGTCTACTTTTCAGGATTAAAAAAAAAAAAAAAAAAACTTAAAAAAAAAAGTTTAAAAAGCAAAATGGGAGGGAGGAAGCAGTGACATATTTTTTGGTAATTATGCTTTTTTTTTTTTTTTAATTTTTAGACTTTGTTTTTACTGTGGGTCAGCTGTTGATAGTTCATCAAGATAACCATTTCTTTGCTGAGTTCAGGTGACCGAGGAAGAGCCACACCCTCGAAACAAAACAAAACACAACACAAAACCACAGAATCATCTTTAACCTAACTTTTTATACGATGTCTCAGTTCCCCATAACTTTGCACATAAGCTTCTGTGTTCAGTTGAATTGTAACTGCTTTTGTATTTGGAGAGAGTGTGACTATTGAACTTGAAACCTTTTATTCCAGGCGTCTTGGTAGTTTCTGGTGGGATTAAGCGGGTAAGAGGGAAGAAAGGGAAGGGTGGGGAGTGGCTCCTTCCCTTTGGAATATGAAGTTTCTCCCACTGCCTCCTCTCAGTGATCTTCCAGGTGCCAGACCTAAAAGTTTTTCCTACAATGATCCTTTCATTTTTTACTTCTTGACCCATATGTTTTAACAGGATTTTAACAAACTGCACTTATTAAGAAATGTGTTTGCCCTGTTTTGTTTTGTTTTGTTTTTCTTTCAATAAAAGCCATGGCACCTCCTAGCAGGAAGGAAGCAGGGTCAAAATCTTGAAGTGTTACTGAAGTTGGCCTTTAATTGGGGTGGGAGGCCTTTTCAAGAGGAAATTATTTACTCATTCATTAAATAAACACTGAGAGATTCATGTGCCTAACCCCAATTGTGGTGTGGAGGATGCCCCCTTAACGCTAAGGCCCTGGTTTAAAGCCCACTAGTTCATTTTTAAAGTGGTTCTCTGATTCTCTACCTATCACAGTCGCAAATCCCTCTGGGAATTTTTGGGTAAAAAGCATGGAACAGGTGGGATGGATGGGGTAGAGACCAGGGCTCATTGTGCGGGATTATCACTGGGTATTGACTGACCATCCATCCACCTCAGGCCTGGCCTGTGTGCTGCACTTAGCACAGTTTTTGCCTGCTCTCTTGTGGTCCAGGCTAATAGGGATTCCAGGAGCTTCATTTTCCAGCCAAGATGTGTTGGTCACCTATTCTGTTCCTCAACTGTTCTGTACAGTGCTGGGACACAGCATGGCCCAGGCAGTCCTGGACCCTGTCCTCCTAGTCCCACTCGAGAGAACATGGACCTTTCATAACCTGGCAGTACCACGTGGTCAGCTGTGGGGGCCTGGGGTGATGTGAAGATAGGGCTTCCTGGAGAAGGGAATGGGAAATAGGAGTGAGCCAGGGTTTTTCAGATTGTATCCCTACATCCCACTGTTCTCCTTAGCAACTTCATTTCTTCATTCCCTCAGTATGTGATGTGGTACCTTGCGAGGGAATAATGCTGGGGCACCAGAGTGGCCAGTTCAGTCCTAATCCCTTTACTAATAATCTCAGAGCCTTGTTAAGGGGACACAGGCTACAAAAACGAGGAAGGCCATCTAGTCTCAAGGTCTGAGGTGGGGCATCTGAATGTGAGAAGGGGCCAAGTTTGGCTAAAAGGGACCTCCGAGTCCCCCCCCCCCCCCCCCCCCCCTTCCCCCCCC